TTGTTACAAGATTATAAGGTGTAAAAAAAATTTTTTTAAATCCTATGAATGCAATTTTGTGAGTAGAAATTTCAAATAAAGGCCCTCGTACCCAAAGGAAAAAAATATAATAAAACAAATATCAAGATACTGTAAAGACTAGCTTAAGTTGGTTTAACAAAATGAGAGCCAATATTTACTATTATTTATGATTACCAAACAACCAACTTTGATGAATTCTACTCCATAGGTAAAGATCACAAAAAGGCCATACAGTGAAATGCTGAAATGCAAATACTAATGGTAAATGCTCCGTCTGTAACTGCTCTAAAATGCATAGGTAGGTAAACACGTGCAGCAAATGGATAGTTCCATTGTTGGAGTATTTCATTTTGCAGACTGAAGCCACACTTGTTGCTGGGCCCCTAGAAAAGTTATTCATCACCAGACTAAACTGCTATTCTGATTAAATGGTGTCAGTTTAAAAGGCTGCGTTTTAACAATAATCACTCAAGAGAAAGTTGGTGTTTGTATCCTGTGCATGAAGGGATTTTTGGTTTCATTTCAATTAGAATTTCCAGGCTCAGGTCAGAAATCTTGCTGTAGAGGTTTGGAGATGGATACTTCTGTTTTGCTGAGTCACCACAAACATAAAATTCAGGCTTTTCATTTGTGGAGATTCACCAGAAATAGTTTCTGCCCTTGTGTGTGCTGATCATACTTTAATACCGTTTGTCTTGATGTTTTCATGCTGAGCTTTTAACAGACATAGTCTCAGCATTATTTCAAGCACATTTCCGTTGCTGATAAATATGAAAGAATTAATGTATTGGATGTGTGCTATATTTAGCCTCTAAAGCTGCTTCCGTCACTATGAAACGCACACTGAAAGAAGCTTATTCAAATTTCGTAAGCCAAGTTGACAACACAGAGCTAAAAATCAGGAGTGCTGTGATGAAATGACAAAAACACATGTATTAAAAAGTAGTTTGTTTTTTTTAAAACGAGAATTCAAACTAATGTAGGTGTCAATGGCTGACATTTAGTTGCTTAAAGAAAATGTTTCGTGGTAAGGTGAACTGATGAAGGCTTTGGGGTCAGGGCCTGGTCAGTGTCTTCTCTCTGTCCCTAGCAAGAAAACAAACTGAGACAATCAAGGAGAACTGGTGAGTTGCTGCCACAGTTAGTGGAGTTCTTTGGACCTGGTATCGTTAATCCACGTCTATGAGTGTGACAATAAGCTCTCTGTCTGAACAGCAATCCTCTTAGAAGAAGCTTTGTAGGTAAACTCGCTCATGCAAATTCTAAACCCCATTAGCTTTGAGAGACTTCTGAGCTACATTGAGATTAATGGCCAAGTGAGTACTTGATTTAATAGGGTTATTTCACATCTTCTGCGGGGAAACATAAACAAAAAAGTTAATACAAGACATTTGTCACTGACGACTTCAATCTCTCTGCTCCGAGTAGAGGAGTTCCTCATGCCTACCGATGTGTTCTTTCTGTAGGGCTCGACTCCAGTCAGACGGGGCAATTATTTTAACTAAGTTTTAATTATCTGGAAGTTTAAAAACCTGTGGTGAAAAAGTTTTGAGTGTGTTCTCGTGCAGTTTTCGTTACGGAGTGAAAAAAAATATTACTGGAAAGTCCTTATTTATCTTTCTGCATGCAGTCAGCTTACTGCGAACTTCGTTGAAGGGGATTACTGAGTCGGGGGTGAGGGGAGGACGGGAGCGGCTGTCACCGCCAAGTGGAAGACAACACGCTGTGACAACGGTGATCAGAGCCTGCCGCCGACTCACAGCTGCGGGGAAATGATTAGCCGAAAGTTGAGGAGAAGCCTTGAAATATTTTTCCCGTGACCTTTAATCCCCGATCCACTCAAAGTGGCACCTTTCCCTCCGCCTCAGAATGCAGGCAAACACTCGACTATCAGAGAGTCAGCGGAGCTCCCAGCGTGCACGGCCAGCAGCTTTCTGCACCGTCACAGATTAACTAAAGCCGCATGATTACCTTAACTGGAGAAACCAGTGTCATCCTTTAGTTGGCAGATTCAAGCTGGATCAAATAGCAGTAGCCACGGGAATGAGACTGCTCGTGGTGACACATTTAGGAGTGACCAGCGTTTTTATGCTTAATACACTGAGTGATTAAGCTGAAGAGAGGTGGTTTTGCATGTGGCAGCAACAGCTAGCAGTCTATGCAAACGGATTAGAACATGCCTATAACCTAGAAAATACTGTATACATATCACTACACTGGGTGTGATTGTTTGTTGTTTTAGTTATGTATTCAGAGCGTTTTTTGTTATTGTTTTATGCAACTTGAGTGCAATAGTTTGTCTTATTTAGTTCAACACCTTGGTATTTGTGCTGTTAAAAGTGACCGTAATGAACTAAAGAGTAGAAATGAAAACCAACTGGACTAATAATGTAATATATTTTTAGTTGTGAAATTACTTTTGAAAAATCATACTGATCAGAATGAATGAATTGAGCTAATAATGTCAACAACTTGTGTTAAGAAGTGGTACACCTTTTCACTAAGGGTGTTTTTTGCAGAAACACCTTGAAAATCTCTCCTCCACAAAGAAAGCCAATATGGTTTTTTTTTTTTAAATCGTACCTGTCCATGTTACTATTATGTTCTTTCCCTATATGGCAGCATTATGAGCTTTCACAAATTTGCATATGAGTGGATTTTATCATAATCCAGAGTTGAAAAATCCAGTAGAAGTGATGACTGATGGTCTCACAGTTTGTGTGCTTGTCTATGGAAGTGGCTCTCTTTGTATTGGAAGGTAGAGCTATTACACTTCCATTGCAGGCAACATTTTATTGTTAACTTCAGGACCTCTGATCTTTACAGAGAACTGTCACTGCATGCGTATCTCTCTCTTCCTCTATCTCCACACAGTAACCCTTAAAAACAAAGACACTTTTCTACAATGAATCTGCACCATCCACCATTTTCTCCCAATAAAGCAGCATCTTTCCAGTTGGAAAGGATTGGAAGATTGTGCAGATGGCCATGAAATCACCAGTCTGATGGAAGCGTCACGCCCTTTCATGAACAGCCTTAGTAGTGGAGTCATGTTCATTCTGCTGTCAAACTTCATAGTGGGCTCATCACTCTTCCTCTCCCTCCAGCAATCTCCATTTTCTCCCTCTGGATCCATTCTCACCTTCTCATACTCACCTTTTCTGCATCGCATTCGGTGATGCCCTCTTCCTCTGAGAGTGCTTTTTATTCCCCTCTGTTCCCTGGGAACATCTGTGATCACAGCTGATGAAAAGAATAAAAGCCAGACCTCTGATATTTCAGGTTTAATGTTCAGAAGCTGTCTGTTGGTCACTGGCCTTAATGGGCTTAATTCATGAGTTCTTTGCGAGCCTTTTCCACCTCTGTACTTTGCTCGATATTTTCGTTTTCACTATTTTCATTCACCTTTTGGAGAAAAGTATGTTAAGTGGAAATGATTGTTTGGGCGCTCAGCTTTAATCCTTTTTTTATCAGCAAAGTATAGAAGCCAGTGAATCAATCAAAAAACCTTGGGAAAGAGAAATATGTTTTTCTTCTTCACTTAGTTCTGTCAATTTAATCATTTTCACCAGCTCTGCCAGTGTGTCTAAAGAGCGTTCAGTATAAATGAAAATAACAGCAACACAAGGGTAAACAAAGGAATGCTGTGTCTGTGTATGTATGTTTGAATTCTGTTTGAATTCTGGGTGCCGGTGTCAGTTGCAGCCCTCAGCAGCCGTGTTGGAAGTCGGGGAACATGACACATTGCTGCAGGCGCTCTGTTCAGTGATTGTACAGCAGTGGAAGTTCCAGGCTGCAGAATGAGAAAAAAAATCCAGTGCGGGGCGGCCCGAGCAGGCAGCCTGCTGCTGGCTCTTTCTCTGCGTTAGCCTAAGATTTATTTTCTGTGAAAAAAAAGATATTCCTGAAGCAATTTTTTTTTGTGTGCATGCACCACCAAGGCAATGGGAAACATATTAACCTACCGGGGCAGATAACTGATCTTTACAAAGTCCAAGAAATGGCTGGATCAAGACTTCATGTGGGGAACATTTAACTCTCAGCATGGATGTTTGAGAACAGTGGTACACAAAAAGGAGTTTGGACCTTTGATAAGGACAAGTAAAGAATGTCATGAAGACGTTTTGTGGGACAGTTCCAACAGCTCATGTTAGCTTTAAGACTGTACGGGCGGACAGAGCCTGCAGACAGAGTGGGAACAGGAGAGGAGGAGGACCAATGAACTGGAATCCTGGAGAACGTCTGCAGCCTAGATTTCAAACTGCTGCCCATGCTGTTAAAGAGAGAGTTCCTCTATTGCCTGCTGACAGTAACACATCATCCTCTATAAAACAGCACTGATGGAGCCTTTAGGTTCCTACCACACCTTCCCTTTGTGGCCCCATGATTGCTGCTTTTTTATTTATGCTGTCATTATTCAAATATCTGAGATAAAGTCGTTGTTATTGTGACATTCTTTTTACTGGCATCAGCAAATGTGTACATCTCATTTTGTTAATTGTGTTGATTAAAATTTAAATAATAGAAATAAATTAATCAAACGCCAACATGATATTTAAAGTCCTTTATACCTGAAGGGCTGTACTTATTAATGTGTTCTGCTGTCCTGTTAGACAGCGATTAAACGTAATTGAGATAAAAATGATGCACATTGGCCTTTCATGTAAGAGTGGAGTCTGCTCATTGGTGATTAATGAACCACTGCCATCTCTAGCACTCTGAACTCTAGCCTGGACTTAATTAAAACCGAGAAATTGACCACTAATCATAAATTACTTCCCATAACCTCTGACATTTTTAGAATAGAAAGAACTAATTGGTTTCTAACCAATTAATTACTGACAATAGAAGCAAATAGCAGGTCACGGCTCCACCAGGGTTCCCGTGCACGTGTCATGTTTCAGACGGGTGAAGGAACCATCAAAGGTGGAAGGGTGCTCCTGCTGGGTGACTGATGTCTGCTCTGTGGTGTTTTACAGGTGACCACCATCGTTACAGCCCCCCTGCTCTGACCCCTGGCCCAGTCTCTGGTCAGCAGGAAAGTTCTAGAAGAACCACCTGGACTCCTTTAAACTCCCTGGCACTGACCCCTGTACACCTATCTGGAGATGGAAGACTTGCACAGTATACCACAGGCTCATGTTTTATATGATTTTTTTGGTTTAAATAAGGTCACCTGCAGTACACCTTCAGCTTCTATTTTCAGTCCACCTAAAAACCCAGGGCTTCACAGTTAGACTGTTTCATTGCTGTATACTATACGCTTCCTTTCCGTTAGGCGTTTTTACAAAAAATGGGAGTAACATTGTCAGATTGTACTGTATGGTAAACTTTACTGTAGCTTTTAGTGATGGTAAATATTGTTGATTTGAGAATATACCCTAAAATAAAGTTCACCAAAAATCGGAGTATATTGGTTGTTTGTCTCGGCTTTCGGGTTTTGGAGAGAAGCTTTCCGCTCTTTTGGTTTCTTAGATTCAAATTTTAAAGTTCTACCAAGATTCTTATTGGTACTGCTTTTGTCTTACTCTTGTTTCCATGATCTGTGTTATCAGGTTATTTGTATATTTTGTTCTTTGTATGTATTTGTTCAAGATAATTATCCTCTTTTCACAGCTGGTTTTTGTTCAAATTAAGATCTTTTTGTGTACATTTCCCACTGTTTGCCTATTCTTCCTGCTTTTTGAGTTTGGATTGCTGGAGCTTTTTTGGACACCCTGCTTTACAATATGTTTAGTTTTGGCATTGTTAGTTTATTACAGTTTAAGAGACCCGCTACCTGCCTAGGAGTCATGTTAGTCATTTACGTCTGTTCTGGCTGACTGTGGAGATATTCTGAAAATAGATGTCCCCTGAAAATAATAAAATTGTTTTTGTTTTCTCTCTCTCTCTCTCTCTCTCTCTATTTCTCAATATTCAATGTGCCCCTCTGTGAGCTGTGCTTCTTTTTCATGCTCTTGTTCTGCACCAGAGGTCTGAGATCTTCAGGGTCTTTTGCAGGGCTTCCTTCTGCAGGACAGAGAAGTCCTGTCTGCATCTCACACCTGGCTACAAGTAGCTGGACATTGTCTAAGACCTGTTGTACATCCTGTCCTCAGGGGCCTGTCTGGACTGGTAGACCCTGGTCTTTACTTGGCTTGAGGTCTGAGCCAGTCCCATGAAAAGCAGCTCTATACAGCTTTTTCAAGCAACTCTTTGATATCAACCACTTCTTCAACTTTGAAGTGACAGACAGGGGATTAGGCTTCCAATGGTTTCTCATCCACACATTCCCTGGGTTTCAGTGCCCCATTAATCACTGGAGGGTATCTTCCTGATGCACACTTAGATAGCTATTACTGCAGAACTCATCTTACTCTTCATAAAGTTTAGGAATTGTCCGACTTCCTTTAACCCTCTTCATGGTTGACTTTGGGGTACCGAGTGGTCTGAGTTACTGTCTGATAGTTGGATGGAACAACTGGAGTAGGAAACAATAACTGTTTATTATAACGTTATTGCCAGAGAACAACTTCACCAGCTCATTTCTGGCCCTATTATGCGTCTAAGTGCTCATTAAAGAAATCATAAAGTCTCTTGTCAGTAAGAGCTTTTGCCCATTTGTCAAGAATACTTAGAACTTTAGATATTTTGCACTCAATTGCAATGTGCTGCATATAAGATTGTGTTAGAACAGTTTGAAATTAAACAAGTGTTATATCCCAAAAATAACATAAACTATATTTAAAATGAATGAACTCTGTGTATTACTTTAAACTGGATAAGTCAGAAGTGAGTGCAGCTGACTTTATTAGTTTTACATCCAGCATCATCCCCCCAATCATCATGAAGGTAAAGATCTGGTAGACTGTGTGACACTGACAGAGTATCAGAGGTGTTAAAGGTTTCATCTGAATAGAGATTTATGAGAGACTGTATACCTTCTGTGAGTCACAGTGTAAAGCTGAAATCTAGACGTAAAGGAGGAGTAAAGTGTTTTCTAAATTCCAAGGAATTTAGTAGAACAGTTTTTTTAACATAAATAGAAATGTTGATTGATAAAGTGGAATAAATGAGGAGAAACACCAGTAGATGGAGTACATTCAATTCAAACCAACAATGGACTCTTTTAATGCTGGTGATAAAACTGGGAATTGGGAAGGGCCAGCATTCAACTGCATTTTAATTTCTGTGGCACAGATTTTCGGTACACAAGTGTCACATTAACACTAAGATAGTTAAAGCCTGAGCCAGTAAGAAGGAATGGCAAATCAGTCTGTTTGCTTCTGGATTAATGAGCAAAAACTCACTCATTCTATGAATAATCCCAATAAAACACAACGTAGGATCTGTTACGTGTAACAATAATCCACATTCAAAACCAATCCATACCCAGAGTTTTAGTTTTAGAGTTTTAGAGGTATGCAGAACGCGTACCTCTAAAACAGGAAAAACAGATTCTAAGGCAATAGCCAAGGGTTCAACTGACAGAGAAGAGAGATGGAAATGGACAACCAGTTTAAAGTGTTTGTAGCTGTACCAACACCATCTTTTTGGGGATGTATAAAACAGTGGAATCAAGCTAATGATTTTTTTTTCCAAGTCCATTTTTTTCAGAAGAGGGAAAGACGCCTCTCTGCCCAGAACATGAACACAATCTCTATATTATCAAATCTGGATATGATAGCCGGGGCTGCCCATCGGTTCTGGGAAGTGGAGGCAACTTTTTCCACTGAACCCCACAGATTTTGTTCCGGGGAAACCTGGTTCCTAGGTCTTTACATTTGTCTGGTTGCTAGGATACTATGTCAAGGCCTTCAACACCATGACATTATCAGAATAGGTAGAAAGGGCTTGACCCATCCCCTCCACGGTAGCATGGAGATGTATTTAAACAGTATCCAAAGCAGCTTTCACTGATTTTTTATAGATCATTTCCCAAATGATCTCTCATTCTCCAATTCCTGCAAACATTTGTTCAAACGTTAAAAAAAATCAAACTTTATGAGAGTGAATTAAAAACTTAAATGAACTGTTTACGTTTTATCCCTCTGTGTTGAAGAACGTAGTATAAAAAACATCATTTTCTACCTTTTTTTTTTTTACAGAGATGCATAAAACACGCTTAATGAAGTTTTGCCAGTAAAGCTGAAAATGATTACAGTTCTTCTCTGTTGGGTCCTGACTGGAGAGTGAGAGTCTGGCTCTCCACAACTTCAGGAGTGACATGAAAGTGTTGCTTTGATTTGTATTCATAGATGCAATGTGAGTCAAATATGACTCAAACATTTGGGGCCACACATTTTTTTTACTTTAGATTTGGACTTTTTCAATTTTCCTGGGTCCTGCTTACTGGAGTGAGGGAGGGCTCTGATAAGCAGGAGCCAGGTGGAGTTGCAACTTTCTCTGAAATCTGCCTGTTGGGCATGTTGCTTTAGGTACATGCCTCCAGAACAGCACCCATTCACAGTGTGTAGGACATTCCAACAAGTCCATGTAAACACAGGATTGTTTGTTCACGTCATCATGAGGAAAGTGACCATCTAGCCCTCTATACCAGACACCCTTGATGGTCTTATTAACACCAAGACTCTGAAACAGTTATCCTGTTTTCCACAGTTTTATTAATTTTGCAAAGAAAAGTTGATGCTACATCATAAAAAAAGACATGGTCAATCCTTTTCTAGCTATTTATCTTATCTAAATTTTTAAATTAAATGTGTTTATTATGTATAACTGTTTACATGCAGAACTTTATCCCCCCTACCTTAAAAATCAACCATTTTCAAACAACACATCCACAATGTGCAATTAAAGATGTCTTCCCATCTCCATTGTTTGAATCTCATAAAGGGACCACAACAGAAAAACACATGAACAGAAAGAGGAAGAGGACATCAACGCCTCCACACAACAACTGGAACAGATCAATGGGGAGAGCTTGTGGTTGTATGCTCTATAAAATGTATCGACTGTATTGAGACAAGAGAATGGCAGAGTTTCTCCTGCACCTTTCATAAGGCAATCAGAGAGTTCTTTTCTTTACTTCGCAGTTCAATAATTACAGTAAATGTTGATTATGCAGCTGGATAAAGTTAACCACGCATTGAATGCTCAGAGCAGTTTTCAGGTCAGCTGCCTCCACAAATACATCTCCCATGTGAGCCGAGGGAAATTTCAAAGTCACAAGTAGGAGTTCTTCTTCTGAGCTCTTGGTCGAAAATGTCGACAAAGATTCAGTTTGAGAGGAAAAAGAATAATGTGTTGTAAAACAGGGACCAGTTCCACTTATTGTTACTCCTTGTTCAGAATGAGCTCATAACAAAAAAACCTGTAAACTGCAGAGGGAGTGACCTTAAGTAAACTTAATTTATTAACTTTAGTAAACTGAATCAGAAACCTATGTCATTATGTTTGGTTAGTGTGAACCCTAAAATCTTGTGTGACACTATTCACTAAATGTCACAGATTTGTTTGTCCTTTTCTTTCTGTGTTATTTGAGTTAAAGTATATCAACATCTATGATCCAAACTGGTCAAATACACAGTTTCCATGTACATCCACCTTCTTAGTAGCCTGTGCTCCGTTGGTTCTTTTCGGCCCGCCAAAAGGAGGAAGAGTGTGAAAAGAGGAAGGCTTTTTGATGGACAGTCCCTTTGCATCATACTGTGGAGACTCTCAGCAGCTCCACCATCTGCAGGCTGTCACCCCCCCGCCCCCTGCAGACCTTTCAATCAGCTCTCCATAAGAATATCAAACTCAGCAATTTAGTGTAACGGGTCATTCTCCCCAAATGCTATTCAACCAATATGTAGTTCGAGTTTATTACTGGGGTTTTTGTGTTGTTTTTTACCCTCT